CCTACTATTCTTCTCCTTCAGGTTATTTCTTTTCCTTTACCTCCCTGTTTCCTTACCCTTGTCTTGGTTCCTGCAGTTATGTCTGTTTGCATACTTATTTATCAGAGTCTGATCCTAGGATCCACATATGAGGGAGAACATATGTCGATTTTTTTTCTGAGATTGTGTTACTTCACTTAGTATAAGAGTTTCTAGTTCCATCCATTTACCTGCAAATTTCATGATTTCATCTTTCTTTACTGCTGAGCAAAACTCCATCGTATATATGAACCACATTTTCATTATCCACTCATCAATTGAGGGACACCTAGGTTGCTTCCATCTCTTAGCTATTGTGAAAAGAGCAGCAACAAACATGGATGTACAAGTGTCTCTGCAACAGGACAAGTTCTTTGGGTATATGCCAAGGAGTGGTATAACTGGGTCAAATGGTAGGTTCATTTGTAGTTTTCTTTAAAAAAAAAAAAAAAGCACCAAGTTAATTTCAAAACTTGAATCAACTTTCATAGAAACTAATGAACAGAACTAAGTAGCAATAACAATACGAAGAAAATGCATTTTCTTATAAGCATTGATTTTATTTTACTATTTATTTCCCCCAGTAGATACTTGCACATATTTAATTTTATCTCTTATTTTTGCTCTAAATTTTTTATGTGTAATGAATGTGTTGCCTGCATGTAGTGCACTGGTGTCATGTGATGCCCGCGCAAGTCAGAAGAAGGTATGGGATCCCCTGGAACTGGAGTTACGGACAGCTGTGAGCGCCATGTGGGTGCTTGGAACCGAACCTGAGTCCTCTGCAAAAGCAGCCAGTAGTCTTAACTGCTGAGCCATCTCTCCAGTCTCCATGCTCCAAATTTTATATAATTAGGGGGAGTGTTCAGTTTTATTGTTGTTGCTGTTGTTGTTGTTTTTGAGACAGGGTCCCACTATGTAACCCTGGTCTGAAATTCTCTATGTAGACCAGAATGGCCTCAGACACACAGAGAGCCACCGCCTCTGCCTCCCAAGAGCTAGGAATAAAGGCATACACCACCACACCTGACATTATAGAATTATTTCTTAAGAAAAACGTTAACTTACATCTTAAAAGTTTGGGGGGAAGTATTTGCCACAAATGTGACATTGTATAAAGTTTCATCCTACACACACAAGCACACGCAAATTCATATTGCTTTGGAAGTTTTAAAAAATTAATTTAAAAAAATCACGAGTTCCTAATCACGTGACTGGAGATTATTTTTATTAGTGCATTGCTTTAATGATTACGTATAAAGAGCCTTCTGGAATTGACTTCATTTTTCCCTGTCTTTTGAAACACAGTACAACTGCTTTAGGAATGGTATGGTCCTGTCCAGATGCCTCTCAGGCACTCTTAACCTTACAGGCAGAACTGACTCCAGGATGCTGTGATGGTTGGTGCTGTCAACTCAACAGACTCTAGAGTCACATGGGAGACAGGCCTCTGGGCATACCGGTGGAAGATTATTTTGTGCTAATTGAGGTGAAAAGACTCACCCATTTGGGGTGGCACCATTAAGGGAATCCTGGAAGAGAGAGGATGCTGAACAGCAGCACAAAAGTCATTGCTCTCTGTTCCTAATTGTAGATCATATGTGACCAGCTACTTCAAGCTCCTGCCTGCTTAACTTCCACATGGTGGTGAACTGTAGCTTCCATCTGTGAGCCAGCATAAATCTTTTCTCCCTTAAGTTGATTTTGTCAGAGTATTTTATTACAGAAACAGAAGAGAAACTAAGACTGTCCAGGGAAGAGGCAGTTGAAGCCCTCAACAAGCCACTTAGGGTAGTAGGACTACTAGAGGCAGGAATGCTCCTTAGCTTGGAGCCCCCAAACACAAAAGACTCAGGCAGACTACCTTCCTCTAATCTACTTGTGCTTGTTTGAAACTGTCTGCAAAGAAGTTGAGTCCTTCCCACAAAGAGGTAGCTTCCCAGCTCCCTCTCTGTGAGCCTTACCTATTTGCTTCAGTGTAGAAAAGTGATGCAACATTACTTTTGATGCCTCATTGTAAAAAGTGACCCCAATCTATCTGGAGCTCTAGCAACATGCAAACAGCCACACCTCCAATTCACATTGGTCATTTTCTGATCTAGACTCTCTTAGTTTGGGTGTTCTCAGATGTCTTCAGTCCTGTCTCTATGGACCTTCTTTCATATAGAAGGTGGTCCCTTAACCTTCTAATTTATCCTCCTGTGTGTTGACTCAGCCTGAGGGTCCATGTGTCCACTGAATAAAAAAAAAATGTGCCCAGAGACAATGAAAGACAGATGCCATAATTAGAATCACTATTGCCATTATGTATGAGATGTCTGGTCTCTGAGGTCTTCTTTTGGGGATCCATTCTAGCTAAGATTGAAGAATTTAGATTGTGAGCCTTAAAATGGGGTTCTTTTGTATTGCCTGCATGTGTGTAAGTGCATCTGTGTCATGTAGTGCCCGAGAAGGCCAGAAGAGGGTGGCAGATCCCCTGGAACTGGAGTCACTCAGGGTGGTTAGCTGCCGTGGAGTGCTGGGATTTGAACATGGGTCTTTTGCAAGAGGAGCCAGTGCTTTCAACTGCTGAGCTATCTCTCCAGTCCCCTATTCTTTTTTAAATGTACACCTTTGAGGCCCCAATGCCAAGAGATCCTGACACCAAAAGCTAGTGGCAGAAAGATCATTATTTCTTCATTTTTCCCTGTCTTTTGAAACACAGTACAATTGAGCTTTAGGAATGGTATGGTCCTGTCCAGATTACAAATTTATTTTATGTGTAGGAACGTTTTGTTTGCATGTGTGTAAGTGCACCCATGTCATTAAATGCCAGTGTAGGCTAGAAGGCAGCATTAGATCCCCTGGAACTGGAGCTACAGACAGTTTCCATGTGGGTGCTGGAAACTCAACCAAGGTCTTCTGCAAGAGTAGCCAGTGCTCTAAAATGGTGAACCATCTCTCCAGCCCCAGGATCAATATTTCCTTAACATCCTGAAAAGCTTCTTCATTGAGCCAAGTCTGGAAATTGCTTGGATCAATACACTGCTATGCTCACAGCTTTTAAGGTGGCCGGCTCCATCAAATTTCCCAGTTGTTCTCCTTTTCAAGAACCTTTGTCCAGCTTTTGCAGTTTTTCTCTCTCCAGTCCAGCATTTACTGCCACTTTCAATCTTGCCTCCTTCTTCCACCATATTGTTCCAAAACACACAAATCAGTTTTCAAAGTGGGAAGGATGCATGCAGAATTGTAAATAAAACCATGCACCAAGAGCTGAGGTTTTCCATCTTGAAAGCACCTTGCCATGTTTGGACGCTGTGACATACGCTTTGCGAACTTTCTTTTCAGGAATTAGGTCCCTTTTGCTTTGTTCTCTGAAGACAGGTTTCATTTTCTTGATTAAGTTTTGCTTGCCAGTGCCCAATGTATTCATGAATAGTTTTTAAACCATCAGAAACTCTCATTTGGCAGTAATTCCATTTGCTTCACCTCCTCTGCCTTAGCATTGCCAAGCATAAATGGTCTAGACATTGTATTAAAACATAACTCCCTCTGGGACAGGCCTGGAATTCACTGGCACAGGATTGCATCTATCTATGGATATTTAGGAGATTAGAAATCTTCCTGGCAGACAGGAATTTTATAAAGATCCACCAGCTGTGGCTAGCATTATGTAAAGGGTAAGAGCACACGCTGGCTAAAAACCATTTGATAGAATTCAGTCAGAAAAAAATAAAAGGATTATGCCTACACAGAGTATATGCAACTCTTTTCTAACCCAACAGAGGACCAGTGGAAAGTTTTAGTTTGGGGACACTTAAAAACAACTCTTAATTTATATTTGGGAAAATGATGCATTCTTAAATGCCTTGCTCTTAGAGAGATTTAAAATAGTTCTTTCTGCCAGCTGTTACTCCTTTTTTTGGAGAGGGGGCACATGGTTGATGAAATTGCGCTGAGTTAGATTCCTTTTGCAGGGACTTGCTTGTAGATTGAGGGTGCCCATCTGTTCATTCGTCTATCCATTACCCCTACTCAGTCCTGGTCAAGGATTCTTGATATTGCGTATTCTGTGTGACGACCCCTGGAAGTCACTGGTCATTTTCCAACTCCGCACGCCTTAAAACCTTGACGTCCACCTCGGCCCAAGACCCTCCAGAGGGCTACGCCCCCGCGCCGAGGCTTGGGGGAGCTCTCAGTTCGCAGACCTGTCCTGTGCTCGGCTAGGCTCAGCGGCCTTCTGGGAATTGTAGTTGTGGTCGCTTACGCCGCCGCCACCTTGGTGGAGCGTAGGACTACAAATCCCGGAAGGCTTGGCGCGCTGCGTCCGCGGGTCCACACCGGCGAACGGAAGGGCGAAGGCGCCCTGGGCGTGTCGCAAGCCTGCGGAGGAGGCTTTGGCGGCTGCGGGCAACATGGACAACGCAGGGAAGGAGCGAGAAGCGGTGCAGCTGATGGCGGAAGCCGAGAAACGGGTGAAGGCCTCTCACTCCTTCCTCCGAGGGTTGTTCGGGTGAGTGCCATTGACCTGCGTGCCCTCGGGGTCTCGGTACCGAGCCTCCCGGCCAGCGGCTACCAACGCAAAATCCCCCAAGCACCCGGCCACCAGAACCTGCGTCGGCTCCCTCCGTTCCCCCACACACACGCGTGTTGGAGTCCCACGCGCCTCCTTGGGTCCTGCGGGACGCCGGCGGCCGCATCCTCCAGGGACCCTCCCGCGTGCTCACCTGCATCCCCTGGGACTTGCCCTGAGTCCGGAGACTCTCCGGGGGATCCTCGACCCCGGGGGGCCCTCCGGAGAACCAGGCACCCTTCAACGTCCCCGAACGCCCATGCGCCCTCGGAGACCTCCGTGTCCCCTAAGTCGCGCCGCGGGGACTCCTCCGCCTTGGCGAGTCGGATTTATTTACGCCCGATCCAGGCCGGTGTCGCCGGGGAGGGGGCGGGGGTGTCCTGGGACGCAGCCTGGCTCCGGTAGCTGTTGACGTCCTGTGGGGAGCGCGAGGTCAGCGCCCCCATCTCCTCCGGCACTTTCCTGCTGGCCTTGGTTCAGAGGCCTTGAGTGCATTTCACCATTGTTTTTCCTTTGCCAGAGTGCTTTATAAGCCATAGCAAGGCCTCCTGTTTGATTAACCATAGCTTAGCTCCTGATTTAAGGTAGTATCTTTTGGGAATCCTTTGAATTTCCTTTAATTCTTCCTTGCTGTGGTATGGAAGATTTTAAGTTCTTAACTCTTGAAAAGCAGAACTTGGATTGACAGCTTGTGGGAGAATTCTGGGCGGTTGATTATGTGATTCAGCTGTTTATGACAGTGGCAGAAATTTCTGTGTACCTCAAATGAAAGTGAAAGATGTTCTGTCAACTGAGAGCAAATTTTATTATCGGAAAAAAACCATTAGATGTAGTTTTATTTATTTATTCAGCTTGGACATTTACTTCTGAAAACCCAGCCAATGAGCTGTTAGCTTGTTTTTGCAACTTCATTCTTTTGACTACAAATTTTAATATTATATAACATTTTAATGGTACATTGTTATGTTTACATTTCCAAGAAATGCTTAGGGCTACTTTTCTGTAGTCCGTGGTTGCTTAGACTGCCAAGAAGAATGGAGATCATCCTCAGGGACCTCACAGGGCATCTGTCACTGCTGGAGCCTAAATTTCGCATGTGATATTCAGCTTGAAAGTAGAGCTATAAGTCACAGATGCTGTTCCCCTCTTTAAACGTTACAAGGAGCATTGCCTAGAATTTAATACAGATGCTAAAGACTTTAACTCCTTTCTCTGATTCACAAAATATGTAAAAAGTTCTTTGTGTGAAATTTAATAGCTTAAGGCCTCATGTTGGGACATGATCTTAATGCACACTGTATTTAAAATCAGGATGTGATTCCTAGAGACAGTCTGTAACTTGCAAAGGAAAAATAATGGCAGCACGGCTTGCTTGTCCCTTGGGAATGTTTCTTTTGGTCAAGAGATGGGTTGTTTTTAGGAAACTAGGTCAGACCTTGAGGCAGTCACTTAAAAGGATCTTAAGGAATCTGTTTTTAAAGAAGTGTTTTTTTGGGTGTTGCTGTTGTCAGTGACAGGCCATGTAAGAAGACTTTCATCTTGCCCATTCACACTTTGCACAGAAAGTCACTGCATCCCTGTATAGCCTGGATGCAGCAGGTCACTTTTTTATCCTGGCCTTGGTGCCGGGGCATATTAGCTTTGCTCCTCTGGGACTCAGTTTCCTCTGCTCCAATATGGGAATAGTGATAGCACATCTCATGAGTAGTAAAAGTTCAGTGAGTGAGTTTGTAAAACATTTAGAACTATTGATGTTGGAAATGGTTATGGAATAATACTCCACATTTTCATCAAAATTGCCAACTCCTGTTATTTATCAAGGAAACAGAAGCTGGGTGGATTAAGTGAGTTTTGCAGAGCCAAACAGTCACTAGTCCTTTTTTTTTTTTTTTTTTTTTTTTTTTTTTTTTTGGGGGGGGGCCCCCTGGAAAAAAGAGGACGATAAATCTTAGGAAAAACAAGCTGGTGTGGTTAAAGTGGTTTTTGAAGGCCAAAAAGTCCATATTCCTTTTTTTTTTTTTTTTTTTTTTTTGTCTTTTTGAGGCAGGGTCTCCCTGGAACTCATTATGTAGACCAGGCTGGCCTTGTACTCACAGAGATACAGCTGCCTCTGCTTCCCAAGTGCTGGGATTAAAGGTGTGAGTCACTAGTCTTTTAATGAATAAATGGCCCAAGGAGTTTTAACCCGTCAAAGTGTCAAGTAAGTGTTGCTTACTCTATGAGGATTGTGTTATTTCTAGTAATATTTGGCTCCTGTAAAGCTAAGGGGAATAAAAGAGCTTGGAGTTTTGTGAATTTTATTATTAGTATGGAAGTGTTTGAAGCCCCAAACCAGGCTTATTTCTCTTTGAGTTACAAAGGGAAGACTAATGTTGTGTCAGTTTTAGATGTTTAGGATCCTGTGCCATGTGTGGCATTATGTGCACCTGTCACCTTTCCAGGCTGGAGTACAAGCTGCCCTGCCCTGTGTCCCTTTGGAGTATCTCCTTCATTCCCCATGTCAGACTCCTGAGCTAACCCAGAATTAATAAAGCACACACGTTGAGTGACCTGAGTATCATCAGAGTTCATGTGTTTAAGAGCTGACCAGCTTGTGTTTTCAAGGGGACAGGTGATGCTTTGAGGATGCGGCAGCCATTTAAAAAGGCATTTGGCATATTGCAGATGTTTCACGTCAGTGACTGTTAATATCCTGACTGCAGATTAAAGCCTGTCAGGAGTTTACCTCTTGGTTTCTGCACACGGCTTTTTTGACAACACTGTCTTCTCAGTACTATTCTATAGCTCTGCCTTCTGTGGTGTTGCTTTAGATGAAAATATGCATGATGTTTACAGAAAGGATCCGTTGAATGCTTCTGTGTGTAAGCCACGGGTCCTGTGCCTTCTCTGCCTGCTAGCAGTGATGTCAGGGCATCTTCTCAGCAGAGCCCTTGTTCCTCCCTCACAGGAAAACAGCTGACGGGTACAGACATGCCTGGAAAGTTATTCTGTTTTACTGCCCGATTCCCAGTTAGAGAGGGAAGTAGTTTTGTAGCTGTAGAATCAAGCCTTTTTCTGAAGCGCATAGTGTAGTATAGTTAAAACTGCTACCCAAAGAGTCTAATTTTCATTTAGTTCAGTGCCATAGAGAGACTGTGAAATTTTGTAGTTAATTTCAAATTCTAATTTAGAATCTCAGTGAAATGCTGAAATGATCTTAAACTGGCCAGACTGACAATAGGATATTTTTGAATTGCGAAGCCCTCCTTGGTGTCATTTGTTGCTAGGAGAATGCAGATTGAGATGACTTGCACAAGTGCACAGTGGAGAAAGCAGTGCTTAGGAGCAACAGAGCTTCCTGGTTTTTGTTGCAGTGCTGGGGATGGGGCCTAGCGTGTGCAAGGCAAGCATTTGTTCTACCGGACTTGCTTCCCCAGCTCACTCATGAGTCCTTTGCAATGTTCCTCAATCCCAGAGCTTATAAAAGAGCTAGAAATTTGGTGGTCTCAGTATAAATTTAATGAAGGATCCTTTTGCATTATCTGTAACTACTCATGAGTCTGCTTCTTAGATATTTATGAAAATTTGTGTGCTTCGTAGGTTTTATAGGCATTTATCAGTGTTCTTTACTTACCTTTATTTCAGTGAAGATTGTGTTTACTTTTAAAAAGTTTTCATTTATTTTCATTTTATGTGTTTGAGTGTTTTGGCTGTATATATACAAGTACACCTGTGTTATGCAATACCTGGAAGCCTGTTTGCCTTCAATTGCTGTGACAGAACACTGACCAATACCAACTTGGGGAGGAAAAGGTTTATTTGGCTCACATCTCCTGGGTCACAGTTCATCAGGGAGCCCAAGGTAGGAACTCAGGGCAGGAACTTGGAGGCAGGAGCTGGAGCACAGGCCATGGAGGAACACTGCTTACTGACTTGCTCCCCTGGCCCATCCTCAGTCTGCTTTCTTATACAATACAGAACAACCTGCCCAGAAGTGGCACCACCACAGTGAGCTGGGCCCTCCCACATAACTCAGCAACCAAGAAAATACCCCACAGACATGACCACAAACCAGTCCAATGGAGACAATTCCAAAATCGAGGCTCCCTCTACCCACGTGTGTCAAGTTGACAACTAAAGCTGTCCAGAGCAGCATTGAAACTCCTGGAACTGGAGTTACTGGGAACTGAACCCAGGTCCTCTCTAAGAGCAGCCAGGGCTCTTAATAACTGTGCCAATTCTCCATCTTCAAGATTGTGTTTCTGTTTTTAGCACAAATAAGATAGCGCCATATCATAGCCTTGAGAACATTTAGATCTTTCTCACTTAAAATTAATACAGAAATTAGATTCAACTTTTTAAAAAATCATTAATGTGGTAGCTCATGCCTATAATCCCAGAACTCAAGAGGCTGAAGCAAGGGGATCATGAGTTTGAGGCCAACCTGGGCTCAAAAAATAAAACAATAAATGTAGGCTCAGATTTACTCATGAAGCAGGTGTTAGAGTGTAGGAAGCATGGGTGTATTTGTGTGTATTTTTACACTATATGAAAGGTACATTGGGTAATCCTCCATATCCATAGGGTAATCCTATATGGAAGAGATGTAATAATATATGTCCTTTATGTGTGGGAAGACAAGCATAGGCTCTGGCTGCTCAGTGACTGTTTAGTGACTGTAGCCAACCTAGTAGGTCACACTCCAAGCTATTTTGTTTCCTTTTGTTTTTAGCTTCCAGATGGGTAGAAGAACAAAGCTGTTTTTCGGAGTTAGTAGGATCGGGTGAAGTGCTGGTGCTCACCTCTCTTACGCTGGTGAGCTTACGAGAACGTGCGTGGCCTTGCATTTACTCCTTAGCCTTTTGATTTCCTTTACTCATTTCTCAGTCTCCAAGTACTACCTTTGTATGGAAATAACATTTTTAAAACTTTTATTGCTTTTTTTCTTTCTTAGAAGAAGCATTTCATTACAGCTTTAACATCCTCAATAACAGTTTCCAGAGCAAAGATACATCTCTTTCAAAAGTGGCTATAAAATGTTTAGGTTCACAGTTGAATTAATACAGTTATACAATATTGAACTCAGTATAAACCCTGTAAGACATAAAATTGAATGAGGTTTTAAACTTTAAAAAAGATCTCCATTTAGGCCGGGTGTGGTGGTGTACGCCTGTAGTCCCAGCACTTGGGAGGCAGAGGCAGGCGGATCTCTGTGAGTTCACGGCCACCCTGGTCTACATAGTGAGTTCCAGGACAGCTAGGGCTACTGGGAGACCCTGTCTCAAAAAAGACCGGAAAAAAAAAAATCTCAATTTTAAAATATACTGTTTCTTACAGAAAGACTCATTGTTTTTGCTAATAACA